ATTTTATTAAAGGTTACCTCAATTCCACCTCAAACTGGGGATGCTTTGCAAATATTATTTCATATGTAAGACAGTAAAATTATATATTTCTGAAACCAGTGTTAAATACAAAATGAATTTTCTTCTTCTCTTGCTAGGCCCAAGAGGACCAAACCAAGTCTTTCAGAGTTCCTGGAGTCTGAGGACGGAGAGTTGGAGCAGCAGAGGACCTACGTCAGTGGACATAACCGCCTTTATTTCCACAGTGATAGCTGCATGCCCCTGCGGCCTCAGGAAATGGATGTAGACAGCGAGGATGAAAGGGATCCAGAGTGGCTCAGGGAGAAAACTGCCACGGTGAGAAACCAGTGCTCATAAAGTCATTTTTACCCAGTAAAAGGCTGATTGTCATCAACTTCAGTAAAGGAGAAACGATTCACCAATGAAATAAATCCAAGGAAAAGTTGTGATTGTGTCCTTGAATTTCCCAGACCCCCACAATTGGGATGAGAGGGAAACATTAAAAAAAAAACCCTGAGAAATGGCAAAACAAAGATTTCAGAGTTACCATAGCAACAGAGTGAGAAATCATTTGGGTCGGGACGGTCACCCATAAATAACTTGGAGGTGCTCAGGGCAGAAAAACTGCTGCCAACACTGAACACCTCTTCAGCTTGTTCTTCAACCGATACACAACATGTGTCACTTCATTATTGATCTCACCGAACCCTGTAGAACAAAGTCTGTTAGTTACACTTCTGACAGGAGTGACAGAAAACCTGTGAGATTAACCCCTGATGAGTTTTCATTACTGCTTATTCACAATTGTAAAGATGTAAAACTCGACACGCATTACACACTGTTTTACTGTTACATTTGGGTTATATGGCAAGTTGTTCATATTGGAGTGTATCTTAATTGAGTATCATTTATTTATTTATTTATTTTCTTTAATTACTATAGCAACTGGATGAGTTCACGGACGTTAATGAAGGAGAGAAGGAGGTGATGAAGCTGTGGAACCTGCACGTCATGAAGCATGGGTATGCTGAATATATCAGTTTGAAGCAGAGATTTTGCAGGATGCTTATAACGGTGTAGCTAGTTTATATTCAACTGTCAGTTTTGTTTTTTTTTTTCTCAACTGGGTGAGGGGAAAACATATTGGACTTTATTTATTTACTTTATTTTATTTCTTAATTTTTTGCTCTGGGAAAGTGTTTGCAAATAATAAATGGAATTAAACAGGATGTCATCACAGACGATTCCAAACAAATCAGAAAAAAAATCCTCAAGAATATGCTCAATTTAATAAACCATCCAGCAGTTATATTGTAGTTTTTACATATTGTGATCACAGTGTGGAGCCTCTAAAACCTGCATTCTTTCAGTAGCCAGCAGGTGGCGACACATTTAGTTGTAAAAGAGAGTCGGATCATAGATGTCTGTGAGAAACATGTCTCCATTATGAGTGTGTCAAAAAGCCTTGAATTTGATTGTCAGTTTCCAGTCTGTTTTTTGTTTTTAAGGCGCATAAGGTTCTTTGTACATTATGTTGTAAAGTGGTCCCAGAGTAAAATCAGTAATGCAGGGTATCCTCTAGGGCAGGGCAGCCTTTGGTTGACATGTAGCTACCACACGCACTCATAACATCTCGTTCCAAAACATCAGTGCTGGAGCTGCTGAGCTCAAAGCTTCTAATGGTAGTCTGCAAATTAATGAGTGACTTCAAAGTAGCTTGATGGTGTTTTTACAGCCTCTGACTGTAGAAATGCTAGATTCCTATAATTTGATTATTCCCCCCCTTCAGCTTCATTGCAGACAACCAGATGAATCAGGCCATCATGCTTTTCGTGGAGGACCGCGGCGCTCACATCATCCGCCGCAACCTCTGCCGCAACTTCCTCTTGCACCTAGTCAGCATGCACGACTTCAACCTGGTAAGCACATCCACCATCGATCGTGCGATGGCCCGACTGCGGCAGATACAAGAAGAGCTGCCGGAAGTTGAGGTGGACCAGCAGGATCAGAATCCAGCAGGACTCTGTAATGGAAATGCCATCACCCCAAGTGGGGGACAGCAGGGCAAGAGGACAAAAAGCGCTCTAACAGACTGATGTAAAGCTGGCTGGAGGGAACTATGATTGTTGTATTTTTCTGTATTTTCTTCCCCCCTCCCCTGCTCCCTTAAATGGACTTTACCGACATTTTGGTGCTTAGATAGGTGGGAGAACTGAGCAGCAGATGAACTGACTGGACACAGATCAGTATACAAGGTAAACAAGTTTTCGGAACTTGAACTGAACCAAATATGAACAATATAAAAGTGAATTGCCCACTTCTACACAAACCAGGAATTTGTGGACTGAATGATGCAAGTTGAACCTACTTAATATGCATTTTGTAGGAGCCATTGAATTATCCTTGTGTCACTGAGAGTAAACGAATGGAGTGTCTTTTACTGTGGCACGACTGCCTTCGGTATGATAGACGGCTACAGTTAAAACTGTACTGGTAACATTGTCACTGTTTATTTGTACACGTACACAATAACCTTGATTAAAAATGTATCCTTTTTAGATGGTTATTTTAGCACTTGGTGTTTGTATTTAGAAGGCTTACCTTGAAATTGTCATTTGGAAAGGGGGAAAAAAATGTGATCATGCTGCGTCAGCACTTGAATGCAGCTTTTTCATGATCATCTGTGGAGGGCTGGATTCGCTGCTATGGATGACATTTCAAATGAAGGGCGATACAGTTACAGGATTGTGGGGTTTCCTGACAAGGTTGTCAGTGTTGTACTGTAAGCATGGATCCTGGACTACAGAATAAAGTAAGATTTCAGTCCAGGCTAAAAAAAACAAAACCGAAATTACATTTCATCATATGTTTGACATTGTTGATGGTGCAAGGAAAGCCAAGGAAGTCAAGTTTTCTGAGTATTTTGTTTGTGGAGAACCAGCAGCACATCACACCGTGTGCCGTGCAAAGCATCAGAGAAATGAATGTCGGCTGTTTTCTGTTGTAGGCACCTGCAGGTTTTTTGTTTGTTTGTTTTTTTTCCTTCCCCCTACTTCAAGCTCTGAGAACATTGGAGACAACATTATTTGAATTTTATATTTTTAAACGTGGGTTACGAGTAGCTGACAGAAATGTGTATAGTGTAATCACATCAAATGTTTAGCTGTGCCCCGTTTCGCATCTAGTAAAGAACAGGTTGCAGTTGTCATTTCAAAGCAATATGGTGTTGTTTGGAGGATTTTTCAGGTCCAACTAAGTTGTTCTTTTAGTTTCAGTTGATGCCAAAGGGGAATATTTTCATCATTCTCTTAGTTCTGTAAAAAAAACAAATTTAAAGTATGTATAATTTTTTTTTTTCATAACACTTCTTTTGAGAAAAAAAAAAGAAGCAGTAGTTGTGTTTAGTAGTGTGCACATAAATTGGTGAACATCACCATTCAGTTTCATCAGAATTCCCTTGTGGACAACCAGATTAACAGTATATTCCTCCTTCTGCCCTCCGTTATCCGTGGAGGCTTTCTGTGTCCATGTGGAAAACAAAAACGTTGTTGTCAAAACACCCTGTGGAAAATTGTGGCATATACACTCTGGATAAGGGGATTTTTATATTTAAAGAAATAAAACACATTTGTCCTTATCCATTCCTGTACTATTTTTAGATGTACTGGCTGCAGGACTGACTGACTACCCTTCCACAATTCACAAGAATCACTACTCCTGCTCGAATATTGTACAGATTTTAGTGAAACCTGCGCACAGTGAACACATCTAATAGCCCTTCAATCAAATTGTAGTCAAGATCACTTTAGTTTGTGCATTTCAGCCAATTAATGACAAAACTGCAACTTTCTGTACATTTCTCCCACGGAAAACGCTACGTCTAGATGAACAGAATCAACTTATGGGGACCTAGAGATGATTGTATAGGGGTGGCATAATTGTTAGTCCCAGAAGACCAACAGTTTGGCACTAACAACCATGCCACGTTCAAGTAAAACACTTTTTTCACCATTCTGGTGCTCAGTTTGAAACTCACCAGGTCCTCTTAATCACCTCTATAAGTCTATAATTACTGAGTTGCTGTCATGTGATTGCCTCATTAGATATTTTAATAAACAGCTGAACAGGTGTACCTAACAAAGTGGCAAGTGAGTCTATATAAGTAGATCCACAAGACTTACTGGATGGTTTCATATAAATACATGTCTATGCTACAAAAATGCACTACAGGGTTAGTGCATCAGAGCAGGCGACAAAAGCTGTAAAATCTAACACTGCACTTTATTCTATTTGAGTAAAAACATCTGTAACTGTAGCTGGTCTGATGACTTTAGAGAAAGGTTTGTGTGGTTTTGGGAACTTTTGTAACTAGTGCGGAAAATCTGTATCAGTGTGGGATATCTGTGTACACACACGATCTCTGACTGCAGAGAAACACTACACACTTTTAAAGCGTCACTTCAGCTCTGCGGATAAATGTAGCACTGACTGTACTCGTGTATTTCCATGTCCTATATTCCTAATACCATTTTCTTCTTATATACAGCCCTAACTAGCTAGCTTTGTTTGAAAGAAATAAAAAAACGACATTTCTGTGTTACGCGAACGTCGCACAAATGACGTCATACGTAAAAACCAAGCGCCAAATTCAAAATGGCAATAGCCAGCCTGCAACCTGCAAACTAAAGCCTTTTTAAAAATTAGTTTGCCGTTTTTTACGATGCGAAATAAACTCAGAAAGGTCAAAACAGTCAGAGACTCAAACTTCCGGTGCAAAGACGTGACGCAAACTGCCGGGGTTATAATTTTATCAGAGTCGAGCTGCTCTAAAGAGGAAATCTCACTGGATGCAAAAGATAAAAATGGCTCAAGTTCAGCTACAGGGCTTTCGGGAACACAGCCCCAACCAGTGCCGGAGACAAGAGATGCTTTGTGCGCAAAAGGGGCTAAAATTGCTCCGATTTTCTTACGAGCGATACAGCAAAGAAAGCGGAGCAGCGACGGGGAGCTGGACCAGCCTCTGGATAGCACGCAGCAATCCGTGCTCCCTCTTCAAGGTGATAACGTGCAACCAGTAAAACGTCCACCTGCAGTTTCTCACGTGACAATAAAGGACGGGTGTCAGGGACAGCTGTCACCCTCAGTTCTGCACAGCTGCCTGGAAGAAATCCAAACTTCTAATCCAGCATTTCCAGTCCAAGCTGTTCTCAACACTTTGAGGAAGAAGGCAGGAGAAGGGCTGCAGGAGCATGCACTCACAGGTTAGACTGAACAACTGTCTGTACATTTGCTCCTCTGTGAGGATATAATTTTTCCCCTTTCTTTCCTCCTCATATCCGCATGACCCCTTAAAAGAAAAGAGAAAACGGGTAGATGAACTCTTGCAGAGGGTACCGAAGCGTCTGAGGTCTGCAGAGAGTGATGCAGGTGTGGGTCACTCATCACATCAGGATGTCCTGGGAAGCAGTAGTGTTCACCCTGCAGAGAAACAGCCCAGGTGCAGCAAGCTGAGTCGCACTCGCAGACTGAAGCAACAGAGGGCGAGCCAACCAAGTCTTGATGAGCCGAACTTAATGAAAAGCTGTGATCCTCTTCAAAGAAGTAATGCTTGTCTCATTCAAAACAGTTTGACATGTGCTTTTATTCCCTTTAAATTGCAGGAAATGTACTTTTTTGTCTTCTTTCTTCTGTCTAGATTTATTTTTTGAGGATACGCTGTGGACAGATAAGTACAGTCCCCAGCATTCGAGTGAGGTCATTGGTAATCCTGCATCTGTGAATAAATTGTACAGGTGAATTTAAGATATTTACACAAGTCTAACTGATTAATTAGTCTTTTGAAGTCAGCATCAGGAGTGTAAACTTTTTATGGATGTTTTCTTCTTGGAGTTCAGTTGGTTAAGGAAATGGAAACTAAGAGCCGCCCGTGACAAGGAGAGACAAATGGAGGAAAAGAAGCAACAGGAAAACAGTAATGGTATGAACTGGTTCTTCATTGTGAAGCTTTGCTCAGTCAGACATGTTATTCTTTTTTTATTCCATGCTTGTGACTTTTGTAAAAGTAACAAGTATCCTTTTGAGCAGAGTCATGGGATTGTGGAGACTTCCAGGGTGAAGCTGGATCAGACGATGGCAGAGAGGACCTACTGGGTAACACCCTGCTGATTACAGGACCGTCAGGTGTGGGCAAGACTGCTTCGGTGTACGCCTGTGCTCAGGAGCTGGGCTTCAAGGTGGGATTTGCAAAAAGGTCCGGTGTTTTTGAAGCGATGCTGTCAAAGGCTTATCAGAAATCAGTTCCACCAAACATGGATTCATGTTAGGATGAATCTTAATGCCAGTTCACCACTCCCAAACATGTCCAATAAAAACTTTTTCCCATTTAAGTAAAGCAAGATAACCAGTTTAGTTCATTGTAATATTAATAACAATGATCCTTAACATGAGTTTGATTTCACTAACTTTACATAAAAACAATCGACCCCTATGAAACTAAACTGTGGTTAAACAGCTAATTTAAAATGGCAACAGACAGCTGTAATATGAAATGTACAGAAGTTCAAATTTAAAATTGAATCCTTCTCACAATATATTACTTTTCTACTGGTTGAAATTTTTGTGGCTCATCCCAGAAGGTATCTATAAAACAGTCAACACCTGATATGCTCTGAGTCTCCAATTTTAAAACTGGTAAAATGTGACATTTTTGACTTTGATCAGGTCTCCACTGGAGGTGGTAATAACCAGAAACCCCACGATATGATATTATCACAACACTTCACTCACAGTGACATTTTCTTTTGTCAGATTATGTCCTCAGAGTTAAACTGTGTCATTCTCTGTTTTATCCAGTAAAATAAATTTCTCTCACTTCACACTCTCACTAAAACCTGCCATAAATTGTTTTTCTCCACCACTAATCTTAATGCTTTGGTTTCTTCTCAAATAAGGTGTTTGAGGTGAACTGTTCCTCACAGCGCAATGGGCGCAATGTTCTGTCCCAGCTAAAGGAGGTTACCCAGTCACACCTAGTGGAGACGTCGGGGAAAGACCAGCTGAAACCGGCTTACTTCAACACCTTCAACACCAACACCTGCACTTCTAAATCTGAGATTTTACTAGGTAGAACATCAATGGTGATGATCATTTGTTTTCATTGTAACACGAGTAGTCAGAGCCCTCAGTTCTTTTACTGAAAAACAACAGAGGCACAATTTTACTGTACAGGTAATTATATTTTCTGTTAACAGGAAAAAGGGTGCTTCCTAAAAATGTCACTTCCACCTCAAAAAGAAGAACATCACAGAATTTGAGAGGCTCTCGTTGCAGCGCAAAAACAAAATCAGCCACAGTCACTCTGACTCGCTATTTTAGGATGAAGGCCAAAGCAGATCACTTACAGTCTGGTTTCCTGTCAACATCTGAAAGGCCAGAGAACAAGAAACTGGTCAACTCATCGTCAGGCTCTGATGTAGCAGAGAAAAAGACAGCCACTTCACTTATTCTCTTTGAAGAGGTAAACCATTTCTGAGCACGACACCGTTTGGCATATAAAGCCACACGCTAACCGTGGTTGCTTCAGATTCACCGTTATCGCTTGCTCTTGCAGGTTGACGTTATATTTGACGATGACGTCGGTTTCCTTGCAGCCATTAAGGCTTTTATGAGTACCACTAAAAGACCAGTCATTTTGACTACGAACGGTAAAGACGCACACGCAGAGTTTGAATTTCACTTTTAAAGATGAGCTGTTGGTTCTAAACTAGTGTCTTACTCAGATCCCTTATTCAAGGATCGATTCGACGGCAGCTTGGATGAAATCATTTTCAAAACTCCATCAGCAGTAAGTCAAAGTTACCTCGACCGCCTCACACAGCTTCAATGACAACTGCATGCATGTGTTTGACAGTAGCGCCGCACTCTTCTTGCATGTTTGTGCTATAGAAGAAAAAAAATGTTATTAGAACTTCATTAATAGAAAAATAACTCAGTCTGTCATTAACTGCATCTTTTCGAAGGTGAATATGTGCAGTTACCTGCAGCTGGTGTGTCTGGCTGAGGGAGTGCAGCTGGATTTGGGTGACGTCAGCAGCCTCCTCAGACTCACCTGTGGTGATGTCAGACGCTGCCTGCTGCAGCTGCAGGTCTGGGTGCAGAGTGGTGGAAGGTCTGAGAAACCCATCTGTGTGCAGTGTAAGTTTCTCCAACATAAAGCATAAATAACATTAAACAAAAATTTTTATGTTATTCTCTGTAAATTTTCCTGTTTTAGACGCAGATGCTGCTGAAGGAGAATATTTAGACTCATTTCCTCCGTACAAAACAGGCTGCTCTGCTAGCATGCTGGGTCTTTGCGGTGTAACTCCAGAACATTTGCTGAACCTTCTAAAGGCAAGTATTTGTTTCTCTGAATAAATCTTCATGATAATTTCTCCAAATGAAATTAACGTTTCCGATCTATCGTGTTTTGATTCTCAGTCCTCGTCTAAAAAGCACATGGACGAGCTCTTGATGCTTCTCGCTGAGAGCTGGAGACGAGGCGTGCCGCTTCTCTATTTGAACCTGGAGCTTCTGCTGTCTGTAGCAGCTCAGCATACTACGGTTCGATGCTTGGAAACAGTAGCTTATTCCAGGCTACAGTGCGACCAATCGGATGTTGGGCTTCACATCGAGCAGCACAATAGAAGCATTTATCAAAGGGCTTCACTGACCAACAGCAAATCTGTAAGCCATATGTCGAGGCTTAGCAGAAGGAAGTATAACAACACATCATCTCACAGTTTGGGCCTTGAAAAAACATTCTCATTCAGTGGGACTCCTTCAAAAGCTCTGCATTCAGGCAGTACGGCTCAACAAATTGCAGCTAAAGAGGAGAGTGAGTGTTTAGACGCCCTGACTGACTTCTTTGACATCATGTCCTACCTCGATGCCACCCTGCCGCCCACAGGGACGCGTGTTTCCGACTCCTGCGCACCCGAGTCATTTGTGTGGACAGGAGCGGAGCTAAAGGCTGGTTTGTTGGATGAGATGAGGGAGGGAGAGGACAGCAGCTACAGTCAGGAGAGGCTGTTGGACATTCAGGCTGCTGCTGAAGGTTTGGGGTGTCACAGGTGCTTGTGCAGAGCGTCTGAAGCATGGACTGAAGTGCAAAAAATCAGACAGGTGCTAGAGAACAAAAGGTGGGGGAGGCTGATGGAGAGACTTGCATTGACCTCTTCTAAAAGACACAGTCTCAGCTTTAGTTTTCAGCCTCTCTGTGAGCCAAGGTGAGTCTGCTCTCCACCTCCTCTTCTGAATGCCATTTCAAGTTGTTTACCATCTTTCCATTTCTGTTGTCCAGTCATACACTTAGTTATCATTGCTTAAGTTTCAAGGATGTTGACTTCTTTTAAATGCTTTATAATGTAAGTATAAGGGAAAGTGCCATTACATGACATTCATTTGATAAATTCTTGTTCAAATCCATTTTAAAAAGCGAGACACTGACTAATGAAAGGTTAAAAATTTCAGTTAAATAACTCAAAGCATCTTTAGTGGAAAAGTACATAGAACTTCATTCTACCTGCGATGTCGCTCCAGGATGAGGGGGGCTCATGAATGCATGTATGTGCTTCACTAAACATTTCTAATATTGTGCACATTATAAAGAAGAACACCAATTTCTTTGTTCCCGTGCCTCCAGTTTGTCCCAAAGAAGATTCAGACTGAACAGGACGGTTCTCAGCAGTAAACCCTTCGTTTTGCTGGGGAACAGACGGGCTGTGTGTGTCGACTACATGCCGGTCCTCCGCTCCATCTGCCGCTTACATAAAGCACAGCAACAAAAACAAGAGCCACTGAGGTAAGTCAGACACAAGGTTTAAGAGTCCGAAAGTAGAGGACAATCATAAATGACAGGAAATGGAGATGGATTTTATGTTACTAGTGAGGCTGTAATATCACAATAAGTTCATGTGAGAGAGAATGGCAGATAACCTCCCTGAACACCTCAGTGAAGATGTGGTTTGACAACATTTAGAACAGTTTCTTAGTTTGTCCAGGAGTATATCTGCAGAGACCACCCTCACTAACTTCTGATGCACATCCAGTCATTTAGTTTTATAAGCAGGTCTAAAATATGGCAGAAACAACTCGTTTCAGAAAACCGCTTAAAGATTTACTCATAGTAGGCTTTCAAGGGGACAAGAGTTAAATAACACCGCTTCTTCACACTAGGGCTAACACAGAGACAGACAACCTTTCATTCTCACTTTCACATGGCCAATTTAGTATCTCCAGTTAACCTAACTAGCCCGTGTCTAGACCATGGGAGGAAGCTGAGGTACCTGTAGAGAAACCGCACAGGAAGTCATTTTGTAAAACAACTTGTTCCCTTGCTGCTATGATTCTGTCATAAATCATAAGCCTGACATAATAAGAAATCTAGATTGATAAATAACACTACACTTCAGAAGGGAGTGGAGGAATGTACATTTAGTTTAAGAGTGAATAATCCCTTTAAAATATATCTAACATTTTGTGCATTTATCTAATACTTTACATGCTAATTTCTCCCACAATAGGTGTATGAACTACCTCAACAACATTCACCTGGGCCTCTCAAAGTCAACTATGCAGCTCCTGGCAGAAGGTTTCACGTGACTCCTAAAAGACTATTGAACCTGACATCATCTCTACCTCAGCTTACTCTTGTCAGTATTTATTTTAGTCAGATACTGTGAAATGAAATTAACGTGGTTTATTTGAGGAATCATGTTTTTTTTATTTATATGTAAGTGCAACCATTAAGTAAATAAAAAGTTTGCCTTTTTTTGTAAATTATACTGAGCATTTTAAAAGAATTTAAAGTACTGATTACTCAAGTACTCACATGGGTTTTCGACACAAATTTTTATACTTTTCATCCTTTGTGTTTTATCCACAAACAGGTTTTGCACAAAATGCTAGGACAACAGCCGTCACTGCCCCTGTCAGGGTTAGTAGCAGAAATAAACACAGGAGCAGCCCTTATACTCAAACAGTACCCAGAAAACAGCATTTGAGTGTTTTAAGTCACAATAAAAATATTTAATTCTTCAAACTTATCATTAATCTCCAAAAAGTTCAAAGAAAAAAAAAAAGTTCAAAAGAACTCAGAATGCCATTTCTGAGGTTTGTTGGTTGTGTGGTTGGAGCATGTGACGAGTCCAGCTAGTGGCTCTCAGGAGCAGTCGCTGAGCAGCTCATAAAAGGCTATAGCCTGAAGGAGAGCATCACAGAGTTCCTCCCCTCCTCTTCTGCTGCCCATCTGGAAGGAATTCCTGTACTTCACCAGCAGATCCTGGGGAAAGTTTATTCTGGGAAGCTTCTGCGTCACCGACTCTGTCATGAGCTGTCGAACTGTCTGCGCCCCACTTGTTCGAGACTCACCCACCATCAGTCCAAAGTGGCGCCCTACAGCAGTCCTCATCATGTTGAGAACCCTGTGAAGGAAAGGAGAGAATTTCTGGGTCAAGTTTCTGCATGCACGCTCGCTTGTGCAGGATTACAGATGTGACCAGCACAAGTTCAAACCAAATACTTTTGATATCTTTTTTTACTT